GTGTTTGTGTTTTGTGTCAGGAGCTCCAGGAGTCTGTAGTTACACAAACCCTGCAGCCTGTTTTTGTGAACATAGCATTCATTCTGCAGGGACCAAACTTAGTTCTCTTCATGCAACAACACAGAAACTAATTTAGTTTACAAAGTGTTCAAAAGCACCCTAACCTGAGGCTGCTCAGATGGATTTGCTTACACTTGATATGGACATTCAGGTGTGTGGACATTCACAGCTGTGCTTAGATTGACTCAGATATTAATTAGAAGATTGGAAAAGACTTCAAAGATCATCAAGTCCAACCATTCCCCATCACTGCCATGCCAACCACTAAATCATGACCCCAAGTGCCACATCTACACGTCTTTTAAATCCCTCCAGGGATGAGGACTCCACCACTGCTCTGGGCAGCTGTGACAGTGCCTGACCACCCTTTCAGTGAAGAAATTTTCCCTGATATCCAATCTAAACCTCCCCTGGTGCAACTTGAGGCTGTTTCCTCTCAGCCTGTCCCTTTTCCCCCCTCCCTCCCTGGGCTTTCCCCTCCTGTCAGGGAGTTGGAGAGTGACAAGGTCCCCCCTGAGCCTCCTTTTCTCCAGGCTGAGCTCCCTCAGCTGCTCCTCATCACACTTGTGCTCCAGACTCTTCCCCAGCTCCGTTCCCTTCTCTGGACACACTCCAGCCCCTCAAGGTCTTTACTGTCATGAAGGCCCCAAAACTGACCCCAGGATTTGAGGTGTGACCCCACCAGTGCCCAGCACAGGGGACAGTCACTGCCCTGGGCCTGCAGCTTGGAAACGAGGGTTCCTGGAACCCAGGAGAATTGCATGAGACATTCTGAACCCACTCACAAGTGCATTCAGATACGTCAGGGAACACATTTTCCCCTCCCATGTTCTCCTCGTTTTCTCACACTGCTCCTTCCTTCCCTGGCCTCGTGTTCTTTCTTTGTGCCTCCTCCCCACCCCTGGCAGCTGCTGAGCGTGGTGGCTGATCCCTTGAACATGGGGAAACGCACACTCTGCAGTCTGTACCACCAGACTGCGCTGAATTGCCAGCTGCTTTTTTGGAATTGAGTTTTTCCTAGGCTTTATGCCAAACAATCCGTGCCCATGGAAGATCCAGCTGCTTCAAGCTGCTCAAGAGTCCAGCCTCATCCATTGCTGCCATTTTTTCCTTCCTGCCCCTTTCACACTCTTGCATACCTTCCTGTGGTGTTGGTTTTTTTTTTACTGCCTCGTGCAGATCACACCCTTTCACTGTACTTTCTTGTTTCCCCTTCTGCCACTTCCCCTTCTCCTCACCCCACAGGAACACATTCATTTTTCTATGAATAGGTATTTGGCTTTTTTAGCTTTCTCCTTCTTTAGCTTTTCTGATGAAAGGAACATCCCTTCTGAAACAGGACACTGGTGAAAACTGTCCTTCAGAGGAATGGAAGAAGCAGCAACGAAAATTTCGCTCCCTACAAATGGCACAGGAACGGAAGAGGATTTATGTGCCAGCAGGTGTTCTGTCAGAGTTCTTAACAGAGCAGCTCTGCAGATGTGGCTCTGAGGGGGATAAGAAACACAGGTGAGAAGAGAAAGGCCTGGATTCTTACCTTGCTTCCCACTGCCAGCTCAGGAAGGTGGAACACAAACACCCCCTTTAGCTCTCATCCCTTCCCTGGGCTGTGATTCCAGTCCTGCTGTGCACTGCTGGTGGCCCAGAGGGATCGTGCACAGCCCTGGCAGCCCAACTGCACCTCGTACTGAGGCAGTGAAAGGGACTGCAGCCTCTGCACCACAGCTCATACGAGTGTTCCCAGCCATTCCATGCTCCTGTGTTCCAGTTAAAGGCTGAACAAGCTTTTAGCAAGTATTTTCTCGCAGAGGGCAAACATTCAATCAGCAAAGATACATCTGTATTTTCCTATGTTACTTAAAAAAAAATAAACACCCGGGGTTTCATCCACATAGCACAAAAAGTCACTGATGCAAACTTTTCCTCTTCCCTCCCTTTTTAGTATCAGAACTAAAAGCAGGAACTGAAGAAAAACCACAAACCCTGACCACCAGCAGCAGTGCTGCAGTTAGGCACGGAGTTTCAGGCTCAGGGTGGATCTCAGGGAAAGGTTCTTCCCCCAGAGGGTGGTTGGCACTGAACAGGCTCCCCAGGGCAGTGGGCACAGCCCCAAGGCTGCCAGAGCTGCAGGAGGGTTTGGATGATCCTCTGGGGCACAGGGGGTGACTCTTGGGGATGGGCCTGGATGATCCTTGTGGGTCCTTCCAACTCAGCACATTCTGGGATTCTGTGATAGCAGGAAGCTGATGTTCCACTGCTGGATCAAATACCTCACCCCTTATCCCTTGGTAAGGCTTTGAGCTGCATTAATTTGAATTCCAGCGTAGAAGGCATAGAGGCAAATAAGCTAAGGACCATTTGAGATCAGCAGAAGCTGCCTGAATATTTAGTCAATATAATTAGGAGTAAGGATAACAAACTGTCTTAGTTAGGAACAGTCTCATCAACAGAAATTAAGGTGAAAATGTTTGTTATTAGGGAATTGCCAAGCTGAGTGCTTCCCTAAAATTGAGGTAGCATGGACCTGAATGCTGGAAGACTGTTTACCCTAAAATTTCTGTATAAAACCACCATGAGTGAGGTTTCGTGGAGAAGATAGAGGAGAAACTATCTTTTTAGTGTCAAGCAATACAAAGCAGTGCATACTTAAGTAAACTGTTGTTTTTTCTTCTCTCCTTAAAATTAATTATGAAGGTTTGTAATTCCTCAAATAGATTCCTGTTTGAAAACAGAAGTGATCCATTTGAAGAAAGATTTGAAAATACTGTTACTGAGAATAATGGATAGTTCAAGTGCCAGCAAAAATTTATTTTAAAAAGTTCTGTTCTTTTAATACTTTTTTTTTTTTTGGCTCTTATGATCTCCTTAAAACCATATATTAAATCATCAGTTTGGAGTTTTTTTCCTGCCTGTTAGGCCTGTTACAGTAGTTTAGCCTAGGACATTCACAACTCTAATGTCCACCTGCTGACACGTATTTTAAAAGTAACATCAGAGATTAGCTTTGCCTCTGAAATACTCTTAACATCTGGAACCAGATCCAGCTTGTTTGTTGCCTTTTGGGGTTTTTGGAGTGGTTTTTTTTAACACAGTTACTGGACCTAAGACATTTTACAACCCCCTCACTCGATAATTATGAAACCTGGCAGCTTAGCTGAGGAGCAGAATGTCCTGAGGTCACCGGGCTGGGCAAGGTAAGGGGCAGAGCAGCTCTCAGGTTACCTTGGTAATTCTGGCAGAAATTTGCATTTGCATCCCCCCTCCCTCCTTTTCCTGGGAAAGGACTGCAGTGCTTCTAGAAGAAAAGAAAGGACCAGACTGAAGTCATCTTCTGAGTGGTTTGTACATGAGTGATTTTCCCAACAACCACTAATGAATGTTTGCTTGAAGCTTTTATAGATAAACACTAATGATAACACTCAAAAATAACAATATAATCAATGATATTAACTAGCTACTTTGCTTGGGTTTGAGCTCACAGAGGTGATCTTCACATTGTTTAGTTGTCTTTTCTAAGTTCTTGGGTGGAAAAATACCTTTTCTTGGGCCTGCAGGGCAATCTACTTCATCACAAGAATGTGAATATAATTTTGAAACTACAACTCCTGTAACTACTTGTGTAGCTGAGATTTACCATCTTACCTACTGGGATCTCCAAAAATGTCTTAATTTTCATTGCCTTCTTCCCACAAAACCAGGTCCACGGGGACTTGCAGGTCTCCTCTCCTCTTTGGGCGTCTCAGCACATCCAGAAATCCTCCCTGTTCCTCCCCTGGGAAGCACAGCTTGTTTTCAAGCCTTACTTGCAAGAAACGCTGCTGCTGCATTGCTGACTCCACTGCAAGCACAAGTGTGACATTCACTGGCAGATTCCTTTCCTGGAGACTGACTCCAGCCACAGCTGCAGCTGGAATGCAGCTGGTGACCCACCCTCCATCTCTGCACAGGCAACGCTCCCCCCAGGCACAGGGAGGGGAATTTTCTGCACAGAAAAGAGTCAAAGAAATTGATGTTTTAATTAATAGGCATTCACCAGACAGGCTTTTACTCGGAATATTCTCCTTTTGTTCTCTCATCTTCTTTCTTACTAAGGCATTCTGGAATCATGCTGTTTGACTGTTTAACAGGCCTGCTCTCACTGCAGATGGATTTACACCGTGTTCCTTCCCTAGATCATCCTGCAGGTAAAGCTCCTGTTTTAGAAAGTGCAGAACTCTACAGGCAGGGCTCTGCTAGTTCACTGCACCCCACTGAACGAGTGTTGTCAATGTCCAAGGAAGAACTGGCATCTTGCCCTCCAGGTATAGATTGTGTTGAGGAGCTGGTGTCAGGCAGCTGGGCTGCTACCAGGTAGAGAAATCAGCAGAATGGTTCTGGGAACCCTACCTGGGGTCAGAAGAGTCATTAATCTAGAGTATAAAACCAGGTTGAATGTTTCTAGGGGCCAATATCAAGTCACTGATCTGGGGTACATTTTTGTGTTGATGGGGCAAACCTGAGCCTTGCCCTCAGACTTGGGGCATTCTCCTTTTGTGAGTTTGTTTGTTGACTCCATTGGACAAACATCAACTTAATGCTTTTTCACAGAACCCCTGACTGGTTGGAAGGGACCTTAAAGACCACTCATTCCACCCCCCTGCCACCAAAGCATTATGTCCTACCCTTCTTTGACATGTACCAGGTACAAGTGTTTGCAAAGCTCTTCAGTGACACACACGAAACCAGCCTGATCCAGGCCAAAACTAACCCAGGAAGACCTCATGGAACGACAGGGGACGGTTCTCCCTGAATAGGAGCACAGAGAATTAATTTTCTAGCTCAGCAGCAAACTACATGCAAAGCATCCAGTTTCTCCCAGACAGAAATCCCTGTATATTTGGCCTCCCGCCGAAAATCATCTCTGGCAGACGACTGAGACCACAAAACCAAGAGGCAGAACACACAATTCCTTTTCTCTTTTATTGCTCCTGCCAATGTGACCACCTTTACGCAGGCACATCGCTTTCCTACATCAAACACTGTTTCATTAATCTGGAAGCAACGTTTTTTGCCCTCTACCCCCTCCTAAAGTTATCCAATTAACACACAGTTATCCTTTTAAGAAGTTCCCACGTTTTAACTTTTTTTTTTTTGTTTTGTTTCTCAGATCTGTGTAAAGGTTACTTGGCAAGATTTACATGCATATGACGTTAAATGGAGACCAACCCACCACTAAAAGGTAATGCACATAGAACATAATACAGTACTTTGACATCATTTCAAATAAATACCCACATACAAATGTAGTAATTTTAAATGCAACAATATTTCTTATGAACCAATACTGTAACAGAAGATGGAAATATATAAAGTCCCCACATCTAGGAATAATAATGCTCTTTCCAGCAAACAGAAATCTCTTCCAGGCTGTCAATATTGGTTCAATTTGACCTTTTTTTTACGTTTTTTTTTCTTTTTGAGAGGAGCGGGAGAACTGCATCCCCCCCCACCCCCTCCAGCAAAGTACCAATTGAATCACTCCCCCAGGAGCCTCAACAAGCCTGTTGGCAGGGCTGGTTGACGCTCTTCCCAACTGTTTCTGTTTGCTGAAGTCACGCCTGGGTACAACATGCACGAGGAGATGTGGATGTGCCGCGCCCACACCCGCACGGGGCCGGCCCGCACCGGCCCACCCGGCTCCCAACCCGCAGTCGGGACCCTTTAGCTTTGTGGTTTTGTGTTTTTTGTTTGTTTGTTTTGTTTGCTTTCTCTACACCCCTGAATTTGCACGATGAAATATCATTGACTAACAGAATTTTTTACAATTCCTTGAATATATAATCTCTCTAAGCGCGACTACCGTTAAAAATGTGCGAAAGGGGAGGTCGCTTTGCACTTATTGCTCCACATCTTTGAACCAATCCCAAAAAACAGCCGTTTCGTTCCTCCTAAGGGACAGGACTTGGCCTAAACGCTACTCTAAGAGTCTCCCTTCAAATGATCAAAGGCACTACTGGCAATAATGAGTGACAGAAAGGCGCTGATAGATAACACCCTATCATTGACCACTTTAGAATTTTTCTTTCTAAATGTACCACAATTTGGCACAATAAAATGAAAAAGTAACAAAACAATTCCAATTTGGAATTTCACTGGTATAGTTGTATAAAATTCTGTTAATCAATAATACTTCGACTTCCTAAAACCCAGGAATTCTGGAATTTATAGGTAATACTACTTATTTAATATTTTTCAAGTGCCTATTACTGTTTTAACCAGAGCAAAGTCAAGTTTTCTTCTTGTTACATTGAACTATTCCTAAGAATAATAATACAATATGAAAAAAACCCCAGAATTTGAATACCCTGGATTTCTTAATGAACATGGCAGTTAAAAAAAAAAAAATCAGTAATTTAAACATATAAAGCTTAACATTTTATAATAATAAAAAAAGATGCCGAAGCACAGCACATAGTTTAGCAGAGCTCCTGGTGTTTTTTTTTGCTGAAACTCTTTTCTAATCGCAATCTAGAGCCCCCACAAAAATCTCTGCCACATGCTGATATATAATTCATAAATCACAAGTTCCAAATTGGAGAGAGACTATGAGCACAAACCACTGCATTTATATAAACTCTTCTACATAAGGAATTAAAGAAGCTAAAGAAAAAAAAAAATATCAAAAGTGCACAGGTTTAACAATCAGGTAAAAAAAAATGAGCATCTGCAATGAAATCAATTCCCCCGTCCGACATTTCTAGGAGAGCACACAACTAACACGGTGAGCGTTACATTTGAAGGAGGTTTCTTCAGCACTTGTAAGGTTTCTTACTGCAGCAGCACTTATTAAGTAAAGCTTGTTTGTGGGTTTGTTTTTTTTTTTCATAGCTTCAGGCAGAAAGGGAAGGGTTCAGGTGGTATGTGGGAAAAGGTGTTTTCAAAAGTTAGGGTCGGGTCAGTGGTTTCCACTCTGCAATGGGCCAACCACTTTGAACCAGAGTGAGGAAGGCTAAGAAATGCTGTTGCACTGTTGGAAAGGCCTTCTCCAGGGACTACTCTACAGCTGAAAAATGGAAAAATAAAATAGCATTAGGAAAAAAAAAAAGAATCAAATAAAAAAAAAAAGAATAATCAGTGTTTATTTCTCACTTCAAAGAACTGAAAACTTAAGCCCATGTGCAGGTTAGTTGGCTGAGGGTCTGTTAGCTGGCTGGGGGAGCAGCAGCCAGGCCACCTTCCCAGCTGGGGGGAACAAGGCTCTGTGGGTTCAGCCTGGAAGCAACAGCTTTGCAGAAAGAAGGGTTCTTACAAGTACTGAATAAAGCTTTGCCGTTCAAGCACGAGTTAACAGCCATGGGTGCACAGGAAATGTTTTCAGTGAAGCTTTAGGTTCTCCAGAAACATGCAGGTCAGTGTGGCATGCAGGCCTATGCAGAGAACCATCCAGAAGAGCCTGCTCGCAGAGGTAGGTGATGGCTTAAGGAATTTTTCCATGCTTTATCCCAACCCATTAAGACTGATACGAAAGACTTACACAGCAAATGAATGTCTCAAAAGAAAAAAGAGGAAATCTTAATCGAGAATTAAAAGACTCAGTCTTAAATATTCTCTAAAAATACAAACAGCAGGATCGAGTCACTTTACGCTGTTCTTTTTGTGACAGGATGAACCATAAGGGTGACAGACTCGAAGAGCAGTCAGGCTGGCTTTTGGGGGTTTTAAAAGATTCACAACTAAGATTATTGGGCTAACAGCAAAATTGTTCATACTTGGAAACTGAAGGAATGAGCCAGGCCTGACAGCAATAGTCACCTGTCTGGTAACACTGAAATCTTTACAGAAAATTCCAGATAATTTGGGAAAAAAACCAACAAAAACAAACCCTAACAATGCATTCAATTATGCAACCTAACAATGCATTCTCCAGTTTATCCTTTTGCCATTAGCATTTTGCAAAAATACTGTCATTAGAGACATGGAAGCAGTGAGAACTGTGTTAAAGCTCCCTACCACAGCGGAAGCAGAACTGTAACTGTGTCTGTCGGAGCAGAGAAGGTTAGCACTCAAACACTTGCTGTCACCAAGTATTTTTAAACTGTACTTAATGCAGGAATGAGAAGAATAAAGGCCTTTTGGAAGATTGTGCAGCAAAGAAGAGAAAAGCAGGATTGAAAATCGTAAAAGATGCCTCTTCTAAAATATCAAACCTGCTATTTAGCAATATTAAAGCTCAAATTCAGGAGAATTCAGTGTTTTCTAAAAAAAGTAATAACAGACACATAGGGCCTAGTTTCTAAACCCAGAATTGCAGTTTGTTTAAACTTCCCAAGCAGTGATGTTTGAGCAACACATTAGAATTGAATCGCTTGGGTTGTTTTTTTTTTTTTTTTCCCCTCCTCTCCATATCAAAAAATGCAATCCTGGCTCCGGGCCGTGGCATTCCCACGGTTCCCAGCTTTGTAGCCAAGTTCCATTTGTTCAAAGTCTCACTGTATGAATTTAGAAAACTTCCCCCCCTCCCCTACACCCCTTAAAAATATCTGGGAAGCCAAAATCCCATGTGTTTTTTTTTTTTTTCCCCCCCTCAAGTGGGAAAACCAGCTGTGCTGTTCATTACCTTCAGTCAGCACTGGGCTATCTCCTGACTAGGCAGAGGCAGCGCAGGGGCAAGGGCTGAGCATCTGCAGGGCCGGGGCAGGGGAGCAGAACCACGGCAGAGGGTTGGAACGGCCCCAGGGACCGCCTGTTAGTAACGCTACAGGCGTACAAAAGTCTTGGAAACGGAGTACAAAACGAACAGGGCTTTACATTGAAATAAAAGTCTGAGGCGAGGCACTTGGACACTGCGGGTCAAACAAAGATCTGTGCCTTGCAGGGCGCTCCATGAATTTTCCACAATTTTAGAAGCAACGTTTTTCAATCTTTTTCTTTTTTTTTTTTTCCTCTCTTGTGTAGGCACCAATTATGAAGTACACTTTTAGACTATCAAACTTCTTGTTAATTAAGTGGCTAAAAAGGCCCCTTAACAGTTCAATAGCAGAGGAAGGTTTGTTTGTTTTTAAAGATTAATATGGATACTAAGCTACTTCATAAATCATTATCAGCAGGATGATCTGGTTCAATTTCCCGTGCCTCTAATGTAGAGCCCTGTGAAACACATGCTTGCATATGGAATGCAATTATCTTCTGTGTACTTTAAAAAAAAACAACAAATGATCAGAGCTCTGAAATGCTACCTATTTAGGTTAATACTGAAAGCTGTTTGTGACCAACAATGCTAGACCATAGTCACGTCAATTCTACACATACATCTTGTGTGGCTACAGTGATACCTCAAACAGGTTCTTTCCAAAGTGTTATGCTTGCAAAGAGCAACATGAAACCACAAAGGTCCTTTCATGACATAATTTCTTCAAGTGGAACTGTGTGCCAGGTAGGATCCCAAATCTTGAACATTTAAAGTTTTATTATCAGGTGGGGAAAATATTGCATATTTTTAATATAAATGTGCAAGTTTCTTCTGGTTATCCCTCTGAAAAGAGGGAAACAGGGCGTAAATAATGTACCCTACCAAGTGTTTTTCCAGCTTTTATAGCCTATAAAAGCTTTAGGACTTTGGTCAGTGGTGATACAACAGCAAGTTGTACCAACATCTGCCACACCAGGCAAATTGTTTGATTCCAGTCTCCAAATACTCTCTAATGTTGATGTTTGCTTTTCACCACTTCAGAAGCCACAATAACAAGGAAGGTTTTCTGTTTGTTTCTGCCTGTGAAAGCATCTACTGAAATATGCTGCAACCCTGGAGAAAGGATCACATTTGTGCTATACAAACTACAATTGGTAACACCAGATATGCTCTATCGGGTGTACCCTTAACACTTACCATAAACAGCAAAACCCAGACGTGTTAATTGTGGAAAAAGCTAGTTCCTTTCCACTATTAACTTGTTAATAGCATCCCCATACTTATGCATTAGTTACAGTTAAGAACACCATAATACAATCTGTATTACCTGGTTCCACAACATACTAGTACAAGTCAACTCACTGCGACATTAGATAGTGGGGATTTATTTACGCTGACAGTTACAGCATAAAATAAGATGCAGAATATGATTTTTTTAATTTTTTTTTTTCCCCCCTAGACACCTGTCCTAGTCACAATAGATTTTATATTTCTCGCTACAGAACACCTGGTTGTTGAGGACAGACCCTTCGGGCCTGTCCCCGCAGGACCGAACGTGACTTACGCCGGGGTTACTGCCCTTGGCTTTGGAGGCAGATTTTGTGCGCACCCTTTTGGACTGCTCGTGGTCCAGCTCCAGGTGCTCCAGGCGCTGGGTCAAGGCCAGTTTCTGCTGGATGGCCATCCGGAGCAAGGAGTTCAGAGTCTTCTTCTCGTCCTCGGCGGCCGCGAGCTGCCGCTGCATCTCGTCCAGCTGTGTGACGTACTCGTCACATCTGCAACGAGACACACCGGCCTTTAGCAACTGGGAGCCACCAACCCCGCTGTGCCCGGCCTGCACCAGCAGCGCAGACACCTGCACGCACACCCCTGGATGGGAACGTCGCCAGACCTGTAGGAAACCACATCTCCATCAGGGTTCTTAAAATCCCCCGCTCGGCACTCAGTGTGCTTTCGGGAGGGAGCGTAACTCACAGCCTCCCTGGGGGGTGGGAGGGGAGCCTGGTGTGTCTGAAGGGCAGTGAGATGTCCTCTCACAGCGAGTACAACCCAGGCAGTCATGTTACTTTTGTCTCTGCTTACAGAGACCACAGTGGTTCCAAGCTTCAGGCTGTAAAGGGTCTGGAGGGAGTGCTGTGAAATGGCCAGTGCTAAGATGGTCACCAACACCAGCTGATGAGCACCTGAACTGTGCCATTCCTTATTTACACAGAGTCCAAACGACAGATCTCCAGTGGTGACTGAACAGCAACTGTTAAAGACAAGCACCTTTCAGAATTCTACTTTAACCAACCCTGATTCCTAATGTAAGGATTCTATAAATAGGGGATGTTTTCTCAGTAGCAAGTGCTCTTTATATAATTGTTTTCACCACTGAAATCTATTTTAAAACAATTAAAGGAACTGAGTGTTACTGGGAAGGCTGTGGTGAAGCTGCATGAATGCCCCAAGCTGTTCTATCTACAGTCATTGTCACCGAGCCTGGAAGCTGCTTAACTTGCACCACTAATGACTTAAAAAATTACTGTCTTTACATGTAGATGCATATTTACTGCACAGAGGCACTTATGCATATGGGAAGAGAAATAAATATTCATAGGTACCAGCTGGAATTTACAATGGCCCTTTACAACTTCTTCATAAAACCAAAAGCATCAGTGGAGAAGTTCTTTTAATATTGAAATGGAAGAGCCCCTGACTTTAAGGGATATTTATCGTCATTAAGTAACATAAAGCAGAGTGGGAAAAAAAGCCACCACAAAACAAAACTGCATTGATATGCAGATTCATCAGCTGTGCTCATACTATCAATTCTCAAATTCTGCTCTCCCTGACTAAAGAGCAGGATTAGGCCTATATTCCTAATTATATTTGCTTGGGAAGAGAAAAAGGAAAAATAAAAAAACACCAGAATTTTATTTTTGAATACATATGGAGATTAACCAGTAGCCTAGAAATATCCATATAAAACTGCACGAACTATAACCGTGCTGCAACTTCGGAGACCAAGAGGTTCTGGTGAGTTTGGGACCCCCACATGCATGGGAATCTGTCCCCTCACATCTCTGGGCACCCTGGGCTGGAGTTCTCACAGCCTCTCCCACACTGTGCAGCCCAGAGGAGAACCAGCGTGCCCGGGGTTTCTCTTGAGGGCTGAGAGGTTTCCCTCCAACTTTCAAACACATTCGTGACATTTGAGGTGAAAAGCCAAGTGTGGTTATATCAGAAGCGACCTTTTTCTGCCCACACCTCAGATCTGGTTCCTTCCAAGCTCCACTGCTGCAAACCAGGGGAACGTCCAGACAGTGTTACCGACTCCTTGAGGAACGGAATGCGATTGCTGCAGGAAAATATAATCTGGTACCAGAGTGGGCTGTGCCTGCTCCCCTGATTTCATGCTCACTATTCCCCTCCCAAAAGGTCATGGGCAAGGGGGGCAGATCTCTTCCCCCACCCCAATTTTAGAACAGGAGATGATGATGAGGTAACAAAACCACGGCAGTGGAGCAGGGCAGGGACTGCTCACGAGGTCTTGCTCATGTTCTGGTATCACTCCTGCCTCTTGATCAAGCACAGCCAGTTGTGCCAAAGCCAGAGGCTGACTGGTGGCACAGGCAGATGCCTGGCAGAGTCTAGAAGGCAATGAAATCTTTCCTATGTGAACCAAGCTATAATTAAAGCCAGGATTTTGACTACAAAAGATTATTGTAACAAGCCATTATCTCATCAAGCTTCCTGTTAGCACAAAGATTTACAACATACACTGCCTAGAAATTACAAGGTATTCACTATTTCAAATACCTAAATTAGCTTTCTTTTTTTCCCCCTTTGTTTTCCACAGAATTACATTCAGGGAGTTCTTACTTCCTTTCCAACACCAGGGAGGTGTTATCAGTAGCAGCTGCAGTTTTTTACTGTACCTGAGCAACTCTTCTCACCTACGTAGGAGGGGGCTGGGGAGAGGCAGGAGTGTTAACTACTCTGCCCACACACTGCCCTGTATCCTGAACCCGGTTTCCCGACCTTTAAGCCAAAAGGAATCACACAGCCTCACAACCCAAACCCTGTCCTGGTGCAAGCCTGGCTGTCCAGGGTCAGAGAACACCACTGTGCAAAGCACAGCAATTATTCCCTGCAACAAAGGGTAGAGAAGTTCCCTACAAGCAGCTGTAGAAGCTGCACGCAGATGTGGATTGGGATCTGCCCCACTTCCTCCCTTCCTTCCTGCTGCTTGCTGACTCCCAGATTAATTTTCCTAACACCCCCCATCCCCAAACCCCAATAATGTAGCCTCCCTAAGACAGCACAGGCTCTGGTGCTGCTTTAGCTCTGGCAGCAGCAGCTCTGGCAGCACATCTTTGTGCTATGAGTGTGTGCATTTTCACTGCTCTGCAGACAGAACAATAAAAGCTCCTTCCCTTCTACAATTTCACGTGCCACCTGCTAAGCTACTTCCCTGCTGTACATCCAATAAAGCCAGAATAGGAGATGTCTTTGTTTTAAGACACACCTTTGAAAGAAAATAATTAAGCTTTCATGCTTTTAGGAAGGATACAAAATTAGCTTAAGCCTGTTGTACTTTCACACGTTCACAGCTTTAAGTAGATAGCGAACACAAGGCTTTGATGTTGCCTGTTTTTTTACTGCTGGCAATTAACAACAACAACAATAAAAAAAAGGAGCTTAAGGAAACCTCAACTAGATTTTTAAAGCCACCATCGGCTAAAACAAAAATCTACAAAGAGGGAATAAATACCCTAAGTGTTAAATACAACGATGAGAAATTAAATACTCTAAAACACTCTCTGAAGCCAAATTATTGAAAAACCTAACAATGGCTTATGGCATTTTTCAAAGCTCCACACCAGAGCTTCCCACAAACACCAGTTGTGCCTTATTCTACAGACCAGTTTATGGAAGCTTTAGCATGTACCAGTTTTAATACCATTTACAGCTAAATTCACCAGTAAATCAAGGTCTGTTTCAGGGGGAAAAAACCAAAACAAAAAGTGATGTAACCAAATGCACCTGGGCATAATCATACTTTTCCCTCTTCCCTGCAATCAATGAGAACCGTGTGACAACTTCCAAGGAAGCAAGACAGATGTGACTGAAGAAGGAATTGGAGAGAAGCATCAACTTCTTCCACCTTGAGAGATCAGACTGTCAATCCACATAAGAAATTCAAGCATGGTGGATTAACATCACAATTTCTCAGCTTTATTAAAAGCTGGGAAATGTACTAGCAAAGACACAGTCAAAACGAGATGTAAATGAGCACTGACTGCGCTTGGCTGCAAGAGATCAGCCACGTGCTGCTTCTAAGTCTTTATATTAGAAATTAATATTAAAGACTGATTTTTAACACCTTCCCCTTAACCCAACCCCTGTTGAAAACCAGCTCATCTGCAGAGAAAGAGACAATCTGTGCTCCCAGAGGAGCACAGGGAGGAGGGTACGGCAGCAATAACGCGACAGAAGCTCCTTTCACAAGGAGCTCTGCCTTTCTGCTCTGCCTCCTGGGGCACATGTGGTGCACCAGAGATGGGCTCCTCACACCCAGGGCAGATCTGGAGCCAGCCTGTACACCATTTGGATGTGTCAGTGGAAGAACAGAAGGTTGTTACTGGGGACTGACAGCAGGAGATGGGCCTGTCTTCAGAAACCACCAGATCATTCCTACGATCCCGCACAATCTGCCTGAGCCGTCTCCTCTGGGGGAACCCAAAGTGGCAGAAGCTCAAGCACGTCTGTGAGAGCACCTACAAGTCTCTGTAAGCACCTGTGCTATCTCCACACAGAAATTCTACTCCTCAGAACACACAGAGAATAAACAACAGAAGGAATATATGTGGTTTCCCACAGTAATATTCCCCAGGCCTTGGTATTCCTATGTGCAGTGTCACTTGAGTGAATCTACTTCTGCTTTCAATCCTCTCCTCACAACACCCCAGAGTTAGGCAGTTTACAGTTATAGATAAGCAACTTCAAGGCAATATGTATGGAAACCTTTAGCCAGCTGCAAATTTGTGATTACTTCCTCAATACCCTGCACTAAGAAAACTCACCTGAGTTGTATTATTTGAAATAAATAAAACTCATGGCCTTTATTTGCGTAACTTACTGCAGTTTTCACTATGAATGAAAAGGGTTTATATCCAGCTGTAGTTTTCTAGAACCTTCATAATCAGCCATGTGTAATCAAAGTCTGTTAGTAAAAGCTAACAGAGGAAGTAATCAGACCACAAATCTCTCCTGTAGTTTGAAACATATGGGAAGAATTTACCTTCTGCACTGAGAAGAGCAACCAGCCCCTCAGTGCAGGGCACTACAGCTCTTCCTAATTTCCACCAATAAAAACTCTCAAGGAGAGATGAGAAACTTCTATAGCAAAGTTTCTCCTGCTGGAATTCAAAAGAAAATGCCTTTCTCTTTTATATTTAAAGGTTAAAGGTAACAGTCCTACGCCCACTGAATTAGAAGTGTAAAGCTATCACACAGGGCAGAACATTTTTCCCAGCTCTTCACTGAAGGAGTGGCAGGGGGTGGAGGATCTAATCCCAAACTCCTCATCTCTCTGAATGAACACCTTTGTCCTGCCTGGATGTCTCCTCGCTTTCACCTGGGTGCAGGCAGCCCAGACCCTTTTTGTCTCCAGACACCGTTCATCACTTCTAGATCTAGCACCAGAAACAGGAGGCAAATGCTGTTACTCCCATCTGGGAATCCCATTCTGGAAATTTTTAAAGTCACAATTTCTCTGTCTGGCTTCTCTGACCATTTATCCTACGGGATATTTTTAGAGAAGTTGAATACTTTACCATGTGGGGTTCACTGCAAAGACCCTTTTTAGCTGTAACTCTCAGTCCTGTTCTCCACATGAATTTCAACTCCTCTGTGTTCTGCAGGCCTTTGATGTCCACAAACACAAGAACATTTTTCCCAAATGCTTTGAATACTTGGAAAACTGACAGGAGTGTGATTGCAGGCTAATGTGTGTGTTCATCTGACACACCTTTTCTCTACTAGAGAACCACTGCTAGCTGCCAGTTCCATATGCTGTAATCATGATTTTGTTTCTCTATCAAAGGCACTATCTTATAATTTTAATCTCTTGTTACATGCTCTCAGTTTTTCCAGTATGTTCTGACAGTTGCCACTTGTCCCCTTGCCAGCTCGTGGCAGTTTCTCTCTTCCTTTATTTACTGTTTATGAAACACTGGAACATGGGGATGGCCATTAACTAGATCTGGACACACCTGTTTTCTGCTTTCCAAGGCCTTCTGCTCTGCTAGAAGGCTTTTATTTTACTTTAGAAAAAATTCTTTATTTCTTTATTTTAGAAGAATGAGAAATGTCCTGTTCTCTTATACACAAAACAAACCTCACGCTGAAATTCCAAGTCAGATTTTTTCCTCAGCTGTTTTGCCTCAGTATTTTTTCCCCTGTAATCAATTTTAAGATACCTGAGGACGGATTTGCCTGTAAGGCTGAAGAACAAATTGTTTACAGGCAACCCAGAAACATATATTGACCTACAAGACACAGAAATCATCCTTCACTCCTATCCTAAATCTTAGAAAACCGGATATATTCAAGTTCCCTCAAAGCACTTGGGAGCAGCTCTTTGCCTAGCAAAGAAAAGAATCAGTCTTTCTTCTGACAGTATTTTAAAGGAGGATGAATTAATTTATGTCAAATTTACCACTAACCTTCCTGCTCACACTTAAGGATCTATATCCTGCTGTGTTAAATTTTAGGCACCCAGTGCTGTCTGGGGTGCTGCAGCAGTCCCTCAGTGCTGGGAGCTGTTAATCTGTGCTGTGCAAGCCTTCCCTTGTCTCCAGCAGAGGTCTTATTGCATTTCCATCACTTATTAAAAATAGCTGGTAGTATTGTCAAATTAGTGGGATTAACCTAGTTTAAAGAGGAAATTAGGTCAGTTACTATATTTATGCCCAGCCTCCAACTCTCATGTATTGTTACAGCTCTCTTGCATCCTACAAAATGGGAGTTTTCCTGTGGGAAATACACATTTTGCTTTGTTTCACACTCGAACACAACAGCAAAGGAAAAGTGGAGGGGTAAAGGCTCCATCACTCCTTATCAGTCTCTGCTGGTACAAACTCTTGGCTGTTATAAGAGGTGCTCCATTAGGAGGCTGCTGGTGACAGTGAAGAATTAGGCTGTTACATTCCTTTGATATTTGAAACACACCTAAAAATCACACTCCAAACCAGTTTTTGAGCTTATCTCCACTAAAGCACCTGGGAACACCCCTTCCCAACCCACCTCAGCTGACCTGGATGAAACAGCCACTGAGAGGGATGCACTTGGCCAAACACCAAGCTACCTGTGCTCCCTGACCAGGGACCAGGAGGGGAAGGGGTGACAACACCCTACAGTACTAGGTCATAAATTCAGAAATTACAGTTGTTCCTTTAGGCAGGGGGGTCTGTTGTGCATCTCCAAACAGAGCTCGCTCCTCTCTATTCACCCACAACTCCCTGGGAGAGCACATCAGGACACAGCTCCCGAGTCTGTTCCTTTCACAAAAACTTCTATTCTGCCTCCCATTTCCCCATGCCAAGGAATCCTTGTTACTGTCTTCCCAGTGAAAGGGCAAGACTGACTTCTAGGATAATACCCCAAGAGAAAGGCAGAGAGAATTACCCCTCTGGCACTTCTCTGAGAATTCTTCCTCTCCAAACCAGTTCACGACCACCCCCTCAAACTGAGGCAGAAAAAAAAAAATCAACATACTGCACTTATGTGGAAGTTAGCCAGCTGGCTATATCTGCATCTAGGAAAAATAACTGGAAGTTAACTGCATGCTTTTTCTTTTTCCTCCCAGCTTCAAGCTGATCTACAGCTAACAAAGAGATTGCAATTTCTGCATAGTAATTACACTCCAGAAAAGGAGAGAGAGAAGGGAAAGAAAGTAGGACAAATCCAGACTGTGCAGGCCATTCCTTTCCCTGGCAGAATGAGCTGCCACAGTTCAACCTTTAGCATTCCTTGGTATCCATTTCTCTTTCCATGATTACTCCATGCACAGATACTGCTGAGAAAGGCAGAATCACAAGGAAGCCAAAGATTACTCAGGCAACGTGAGAGCTCCTGCAGAAGCACCCCCAAAAATGACTGTACTGAGAAGCCTCAGGAATCCTCATCTGCATGCTCATGATTCCTTACCATGGTGCTCCTTAGCAGATGACAGAGAAAACCTTTTGTGGCTTTTTTTGTTTTGTTTAGTTTTTAAAAAGTGTCCAGAGAGGACAGAGAAGGAACCAGCACAGAGCACATACAGACTCCCCCATCCCTGTGGCTTAGCTTAAAAGCAGGTGTCTTTGTTACACTGGACAGCATCCTAAGGCAGTGCCTGGAATGCACTTAGGGATGTGCAGCAAATCAATGCTGCCAGGGGTGTGCCTGTGAATCCCCCTGAGCTGAAACTGCCCATCTTTAGAGAAAGGTTTCCCTTTCCCTGTTTCCCAGGAGACCATCTCTGCACAGGAGCAGCAAACTGAACGCTCCTGAGCTGTGAAGCAGACCCAGAATGTGGAGCATGGTATTGCCTCAACACTCCCCAGAAGAGTTCTGTGTGCAAGAAGAAGGAATCAGTGACAGCAGCATTTACCACTGCTCCAGCACATGGCATGTTGTGTGCTGTGTAATGTGCCATCACATGGCACGTGCAGCACAACGAGGCAATCAGGCCCAGCTGAAATGGATTTGTGAAAGGAAGGTCCTGCTTGACCAAGCTGATCTCCTGTGACACACTGACCCACTTAGAGGAGGCAAAGGCTGTCAGTGTGTGTCTCTGGACTGCAGTAAAGTGTTTGGCAGTGGCTGAACGTGAGCCAGCAGTGCCCAGGTGCCCCAGAAGGCTGATGGCAGCATGGCCTGGATCAAGAGTAGTGCAGCCAGCGGGACCAGGGGAGTGATCATCCCCCTGTGCTCGGCTGCACCTCGAGTCCTGTGCTCACTTCTGGGCCCCTCGCTTTAAAAGGACACCGAGGGGCTGGAGTGTGTCTGGAGGAGGGCAACAAGGCTCACAAAGGGTCTGGAAAACAGGAGGAATGGCTGAGGGACCTGGGTTTGTTTAGACCCGAGGAGGCTCAGGGGGGGCCTCATCACTCTCCACAGCTCTCCGACAGGAGGTTGTATGAGGTGGGACTGAACTCTTCTACCAGTGAGAGGACAAGAGTAAATGGCTTTAAGCTGAGACAGGGGAGATTTATATTAGATATAAGAAAAAAAATGTCACTGTTGCTGTGGCCAGGCATGGGGAGAGGTTGCCCATGGAGGTGGTGGAGTCGCATTCAAGAGACATCTGGATCTGGCATCGGGTGATATGGTTTGGTAGCTGCAGTGGCAGTGCTGGGTGGAGGGCTGGACTTCATGATCTTCAAGGTTCCTTCCAAACTTGATGATTCTGTGACTATGTGTGAGCAGGGGTTTATGTCTGTTAACACCACAAAGCTTAACTAAGCAGCAGAAGCAAGCTCCAAAGCCATAAGCAACAAAATCAACTCACACAGGTCAATGAAATGACAGATGTTAACTGCAGGATGGACAACCTGATAATAATAATAATAATAATATGCTTGCAACATCTTTACTTTTTCCTAGGTCATTAAGGTCAAGCAGAGTCGCATTTTCAGTGCCTGATAAACGCTCATTTTGCACTGTTAAATGTCACTCCTCCTCAGAGCTACTGGCTTCGAGAGCCAGTGATTTGCAGCAGCACGTTACATCCCTGCGTGTTCCTCATCAACAGGAGCATGTCACAGACACACACTGCAACAAGGACCTGGGTGGGTGGGGAGGATGTTCAGCTCTTCCCCACACCAGCAAGGACTGACATCTTGCACAGTTCATGTTTTTTTTTTTACCTTGTAGCGAACATTGCTCTCAGGGAGGAGAAGGTGGCGGCGTCTTCTTTCAAAGCCTTCAGCTCGTTTCGCAGCTTCATCATGGTCTCTGTCACCATCGCTTTCTCGTTCTCATACTTGCTTTTTAAGTTGGCAAGGGCTACCTCTGCAGTCTGTTGGTTACCAGGAAGAATGGAAATGTAACATTTAATGAAACTCCTCACCAAACGGCTGGCTAAGAGATTTCTAATCACTACTCACACAATGAAGCATTTACTCTGCACTGGAATGTTAAAGTTGCCATCAACTTTCTTACACAGATAAAATAAACCTTCATTTCTGGACATTTGGAACAGACACAGGAGTCTCCTACTCCCATTAACCATGCAGCAACATGCAGGAAGTTACAGAATATACATGTAGTGACACCTCCAAATACTAAAATAAATTAAAACTTTATATACTTCAACACAACGGAATGAAACAGTCTATTTAGTATCTTGATATTTAAATGCATTTGTCAGTCACTTGCACAGTTCTCTAACCCTTATAGCATTTTGCCTATCTTACATGTGGGACACCCTTATTAAAATGTGCAAAAGAAAACTTAATGTATCATTCTTAAACAACGCTGTACCTTCCTTTCTTTTTTTAAGACAGCTTCAATTTCCATTGCTTTAACTGTAGAGATGACAAGGCATGTCACATGGTGTTTTAGTGGCAGTTATTTTCATCTACTACACTGCTAATGTGTGTTGAGTGTCACAGACTGATCCCCCAAGACTAATTTTATCTTTCACCCATTATTTTGACCGTGTTCTTATATTGCATCCTCATCTTGGAAGGCTCTCTTTTATTTTGCAGTTCAAGAGAGAAGTGTACTTAGGTTTCAGAACTCTTTAAGGGTAACTACTCAAATTCTTTCAAGTGAAAAATAAGATTTACCTCTTCATTTTAGGTGTCTCACAATAAAAATAAGCTGATCTAATTCAGACAGACAACAGGCTGAAGTCTCAATGAAGTCTCATGAGTTTGTGACAGCTGAAGGCAGTTCGAGCCCCAGCTCTCAGCTTTACAGAGCTGGGTGCCTCTAATGAACAGTCCCGTTCAGCCTCAGACTAGACAAACATCAGCACCCAAAAGCCCCACAGAGCTGAGGGAATGGTAGTGTGACCTCAAAGATAAATTCCTTTGTGCTTCTGCCCCAGTTCCCTGACGTTGTGACCTTCCCACCTGTACCACCTGGTTACCTGTTTGTTGGCCTTCAGCACAGTCCTCAGAGTTGCAATCTGTTCCCTCTTGGTGCTCAGCAGCGACTTCAGCTTCAGGATTTCTTCCATGAGGGCTTCCTTGTCCTTGTCCACCACGGGCCCAAGCTCTTGAGTGGTGACACGCTGCCTGGACAGCTCGGTGGTTCTGTCCACAGCAGCCTGCAGGTGTTTGATCTGGTCCCGAATGATGGCGATCAGGTTGTAAATGTTCATGGGCTCCTTCCGCGGGTCGGACACGGGGGACGGCAGAGACGACACCGGGGACGGGCTGCTGTCACCACTCCCGTTCTCTGCCTTTCCCAGCTCAATAGTTAACAGCCCTTTGGAAAGAAGAATGGGAGACCTTCTTCCCTTGGCCTCTGGACTGCTGCGCCCACCTTTCCCTTCCTTGTAGTAGTCCAGCATCACCCTGTTCGGAGTTTCGTTGTTGCACATGCAGACGTGGTGGTACAAATTGGCCAGCTCTTCGCTGAAGGTGACCAGTTCATCCTGGGCCACGCTCAGGCTGCCCTGTGTTTCCCCAGCAACATCACTGACTTTCTTCAGCTCCTTCTCCAGCCTGGCCACCTGCTCTCTGTCATGCCTACTGGACTTTTCCAGGGAGGTGATCTTTTCAGTGAGAGCTTGGTTCTCGGTCTCATATCTACTCTTCTCCTCCTCATATTTAGACTCACATTCTTCGTACTTGGCCTTCAAATTTTTGAGCTCTTCTTTTAGGTCAGTAGTTTCTGCCATGGCCACCTTGTACTTGCACTCCAGGATCTCTGGCCCGTTGATGTCGACCTCGTAATAGTCCCCATCTTCGTGGCTGTCTCGGTCCTTCTCGTTGTCGAGGGCAGACTGACGCTCCTTGCTGGCCTGCAGCTTCTTCATGGCGTTCAGGTTTTCAGTGAGCCTGCCAACCTTCTCATGCTGCTCTGAGAGGGCCCCCCGTGTGTTTTCCAGCTGCTTCTGAGATTCCTGTAGCGTTGTTAATAAGTTTACCTTTTCTCTTTCCATCTGAAAAGCAGGAACAAGGACATTTACACGAAGGGAACTGTACCACTTAAATGGTTTTATTCTAAGAGACAGCAACTTAGCCAAGGGTCCATATGGTTACAGTGATCCAATCACTTGCACACTGTGGAAAAGGCTATATAATGTGTTCTAAAATTATCTCAAGTACAGTGTTCACTGCCAATTCTTTCTCATTTCCTCTTTAAATAAATGCACATTTTTACACATTTATTCCCTAGCTGATGGTAAAAGCATCCTTTCAGCTAAAGACAAGATGAAGTTTATTATTACCAAACAAATATTACAAAACGTGCAGCTCGTCTATGGGGAAAGCTTGGAACTTCATGAAAGACTCAGAAATACCAAAACAACAAACATTTAACATCCTCAAATTCTTTACAAACACAGTATGAACTCCATGGTGGCCCACACGAGATACTGAAAAGCCCAAAATTACACCCCAAACAAACTCTAGGGGGCTATTCGGGAGCACGCAATTCTTCGGGAAACCCATTTACCTGCACGAGCTGCTGCTTCAGCTTCTGGATTTCGGAAATGTTTAACTCGCTCAGGAGATCCGAGACCAGACTGGGGGCTGGAGGGAAGCTTTCGTTCTTCTTGGGCGTCGAGGTGCTGTTCTTGCCGCCGCTGAGCTTGCTGAGGCAGTTCTGCTCAAAGCCGTTCATCACCTCGTCGTTGTTGGGCTCCGTGGCTTCGTCGCTGAACTTCAGCCCGTCCAAGGAGATGTTCAGGTGGCTGTTGTACATGGAGTCGTTGATGTTCATGTAGTGGGACAGCTCCTTGCGAAGGTTGTTCTTCTGCTCCCGCTCCGTCTTCAGCGTCTCCAGGGCCTCCTCCAGCTGGCGCTCCGAGATCTCCTTCAGGCGGATGGCATCTTCCAGCTGGCTGTTGAGGAACTCAGTTTCTTCTTCAAGCCTTTTGATTTCGTGTTTCAGGCCTTCAAACTCCACCTGGAGACACACAAATGGAAGGGAAAAAAACCCAAACAACCTGTAATGAAAATGTCTGCCTGCTGGGCATTTTGCTTTTTGAATGTCTGATTTCACTTGAATGTGGTGGAAATCCAAAACTTTTTTAGTTTCTGGAGTCTGGTTTTGGCACTGTGGCTGTGCCAAAAAACGTGGCTCATGGAATTTACCTTCCCAGAGACCATGGACTAAAATTACCAAGCAAAGTGTCAAATGAGCTGATCTATTCCAGCTTAATTGGGACAGGTGGGAGATACAGTGTGTGATACAGAGGCATCCCAAAACAGGCTTTCCCTGTTTAACTAACAAATTCCCTGGCCAACCTTCCCACAAAGCCAAGCTCCACATTTCCAAAACCCAGCATGGCAAAGCTGTGCTTCTGACACTGTGCTGCACTGCCATTAGAACACACCACTGGGTTAAAACTGCAGTCAAGCTCTGCTTTTATGCACTCAAAATAAAATGTTTTATCATTTTCTCATCATCCTTTCAGCACATCTTGAGAGGGCTACAGCTCAGACTCTACAATTCAATTCAGACTCACACTGATGAGTTTGATGACATGCTGGATGTTTTTACCTGTAAAACTGCATTTTTTTAAAATCTCTCTTGCCCTGAAATGATGAACACCAACGATTAATGTGAAATTTTGAATCACTTGGGGGAAGTAGGGAAGGAAAGCCTAAAGCTTATTTTTCCTTGCCCTGAAAGAAAGGAAATCATACCACATGATATATGACACTATTTATTTTTGCCAGCTGCTAAATCAATTTTAGATGTCAGCACAGAGCAATCTGGGAGTGCTGTACCACACCCAACTTACAAACCAGTAATCAAGCACGTTATGTTAATTCAGTGATGCAAGTTAAGCCTGGGAAAACTTGATGGCTGCTTCTAGTTATGTCAGCAGGATAATTAAGAGTTCATCAAATAAAGTTCTTCGAGGTAGAAAATGAAATAATCCATTGCCATGAAACAAATGAGCCCTTGATTCTGTAAACAGCCACTGAGATCAAATATTTCAGATTGCAGTCTGTTTTCAGAGATTCCAGAACACAAACACAGCAGTCAATAACTACCAGCAACTACCAGGATAGCATCTGAGGTCAGGTTTGGCTCAGCCCAGAACGGCAGCATCTCTGAATATGAATATTGTTCAGAAACACCCCCACTTCCAGACACTCTACAAGAGGAGGGTGGATGGATGGATGGATGGATGGACAGATAGATGGATGGAGAGGATTGTAAAGAGACACTGAAAAACTAGTGTAGCAAAAGGACTAAACCAAGCAACAAAACAGAGTGGTAGAGACTTTGCTTTCATCAGAGAGAGAGAAGGCAGTGGAAGGACTTGGAGGTCAAAGTAGAGGCAATAAAGCATTATGACTTAAACATTTTGGGACAACTCTTGGTGCTAAAATACAGAGCTTATAGTCTCAAAAGTGGTACAAACATAAAGAAGTGGTTGGACGTGCGAATGAGACAGAACAATAATGTAACACAGAAATTAACTGGTGCTACCAAAGCAAACCTCACTGGTTGAAAAACTTGCCTGATTTTGCTTCAGAACAGACACTTGTTTCTGGAGACAGATGTTTTCCTCTTCTAGCTCAGTGTAGTCTTGCAGCAAGCGTGCTTCTCGGAATTTGTATTCCTTAATATCATCTCGCAGACGGGCCCTTTGGATCTCCACGTTCTGGTTGACCTGGAAGAACAAACCAACCCCTAAATGATGGTGATTTGGTCAGCTACGATTAAATTCCAAAATGTTACATCTTTCTTTACGTGCACTAATCAATTACATTCTACTGAAACAAACTCTTCCCCACGCCCCCTGAAATCACAGAAAGTTAAGCCATTTATGTATTTATACATAATTAGATTTTTGTTTTCTTCCTTCTCTTACAACTGACTCAGAAAAAGTCAAGAAACAAGCAGGAAAACCAACATTCCCACCTGTGTCCTCCCACTGGCTACAAACGACAGGCAAAAGCTTTCCAGACCAGAAGTCAGTGTCCAAATCTGTTCCCCCTTTAACAAGAACAGCCTTTTCACCAAAGAAAAACAGATTCAGATGACTCCAGATGTTCTTATTTGGACATGTATTTGCTGCTGCTTTTCAACGGGTATTTTCTTTATGCCCAGAGCAATCATTTGAAAATGTGTTCTAAGGGATTCTTTGGGACACAGGCACTGAGTTAAAACTCAAATGAAACTCAAGATTCCAGGTAGAAAAAAATAGAAACTGTGGTTGACTTACAAAATCTTCCCTCCCCTCAGCCCCAAGACTTATGCAAGACCTTAAAGAAAGACTTAAAAGAAAAAAAAATAAATCACCATTGTTTAAAAATAGGTAAAAAGTCAAACCCAATATGTTGGTGTAGTATGATCTTGGGATCTTTCATGAATAGACACAGACACTTGAATAAATTGAGCTGGCAGCATATCCAGCTACGGGAATGGCTCACTGTACTTAGGCTGTTTTTTTTTTCCAGTGTTATTTTCCTTCAAGCCACATCTTCAAACACCTCATTAAAACAAAGTGAAAAAACTGTTCTAAAGCATCAACAGAATTAGTTTCAGATGTAGGCAAACAGGCACTCCAGTTGTTTATACAGGAGGGATCCACACGAGTACCCACACAGGTACCAACAGGCACCCCCAGCACACGGAGATAAGGGAATGTTTGCAGCAGGAGCCTGTGCCAAGACTCGAACCTGGCGTGTCCACAGGCACAGAGTCACCTGCAGCTGTTAACACCAATAAATTTAAATTACAGCTCCCTCACGTGTCATTTCAAGATTAGGCTATATAAACTTGCCCGCTTATTTTTAGCAGCAGAGAGCAGAGCAACACTCGACGGCAGACTGAGAAGCCAAAACTGCTGCAACCAGACACTCACAGTGCACCAGGGCAAAGGATGAGCTGCTGTATCCCACATTCCACGCCTGAGTAAGTGCTGGCTCCACCTCTGCACAAACCCAGGCCTGCAGGGAAAGCTCGAGGCTCACATCAGTTCACATCTTTATGTCTCCATAACAACTGCAATGGAGACCTCCAGCCAGATGAGCCATCCTGCAAGAGGCTCGATCAAACAAATCATCACACCATTTCCCCCATTCCCAAATAAGTGAAACACAAGGGAAGACCTCCCACAAAGCTACTGGCGAGCTTCTCTCCCCACCATTCAGGCTGCTGTGCTCCTCCTTCCTCTTTGGATGAGCTAATCTTTGCAGAGGTCAGTGCCTGAAGGAACCTTTGGGAACCGTCTGGTCTAAAGAAAGAATGGTTTCTGTCCAGCCCTGCCTGTTTCATTCAAAGCAACAGCAAGAGCTCATTATTTAATGTGCAAGTATTGTTGTGCTTGTCTAGCACAAGAAAAATCATTCCATTTCCATGTGTGCAGGAAGGCCAGGTTTAAAAATAGCTCCCTTGTTTCCTGACCGGGGGAGATCTAACCTAGATTTATTGGCTGTTTAGCAAGCTGTGCATTCAATTTGCCCTCAGCATTCCCCTTTCAGTCAGATAAATGTGCATGCTTGCAGAGCTGCAAGGTTCAACTGGATGCCATGTGATCTTGTATAACTGACCAAATGGTGGGATTTTTTCCTGCAGGAAAGAGAAGCTAAAGATACTACACCCTTCCTTGATCAGGTACAGAAGTGGGGAGTTTGAATGTTCCTTTGATCCTTGTGGCTTCAGTGGCTCAAGGGTATCTCTTCCTTCCTCCTCTACCCTGAGCACGCCCTGGGCACAGGGGAGAGGAGGGGCTGGGACACATGGGAATGTCTGGCCAGGCTCTTGGCTGTACCAGGTCACACCTCCACCCAAAGCAGATCACACAGTGCCAATAATATATTCAAGTGCTGTGTGGAGAACTCACAGCCATAAAATCCCACTGAGTGTTATTCTACCTGACAAACCCCTCAGCTTCTCAGCCCAGAGAACATTCCCACTATGCAGAACCCTCCCATCCATCCTGCCTAAGAAAAGACTGTGATCTGTAAGAGATTTTGCCCGATCTGAAGGGCACAGACTGCCTTGTTCCAGCTCCTAGAGAGACTGCCTTCAGCATTTTCACCCTCTCAGCTCTGCCTCAGAAGGTTCTGCGAGAGGCCCCTCTGAGTAGCACTGTTATTACAAAGAGCAGGAATTCCTTCAGGATCAAGGGTGAATCCACCCTTGCCTGCATGTCAAAAACACAACTACTGTCCTGCAACACTGCCAGAACCCCGCTTTTCCTAGGACACTCCAGCATATAAAAGTTACGTGTAATTTGACCCTGAGAATTATAATAATTGAGAGAAAAATCTCAGGTAGCTGATTCCTTCCTTAGTCCTGGGCACTGCACAGTGGCCTCCAGGTTACCAGCCAGAGGGTGATCTTGCAAGCCAACCTGTGCCACTAGCAGGGGTTCTGTTGCCCTGAACTTCACCAGCTCATGAGGTCAGTTTGAGTTCCCTGCTGTAGTAAAATGCTCACACCTGATTTTACTGATCTGTCATCATCAAGAGCCAAAGTTTAGTTTGCTGAAATTTAATACTAATTCTAGGATTAGACTTAATTCTTTTAAGTATATCTAGGTATGATCATTCCCTCTTGTGTTATTCACGGGAAGGAGTCACAAAAAAAGGATGCTGATGGTGGAACAAACACAGGACAGCAACTCATATGTATATATTCTGTTGATGTGGGAAGGAGAAAAATCACAGGATCATTTACCTTGGACAAGACTCCTAAGATCATTATCACTAACAAAAAACTGCCAAGTCCATCAAAATAACCAATTAAATCATCTCTTAGACATCTGAAAAAATACAAGCACGAAAAATCTTCCCCTGGTTCTCAAGTTACAAGCTTACAAGTTGTTTGGGGTTTTTTTTTCCCTCTTGTTTTCTTTTAGATACTAATCAAAACACTAATATTTGAGAGAGAAAAAAAGAACCCAAACATTCCATTGGATCCAACTGTTTGTTACATCAGCCAAAAGCGTTGAGAAGCCATGAAGTTACAGGTGAGTTTATCACAACGGTGGAGAACAAAGAAATGCACCGTCAGGGAGTGTTTTCTGCACAATATTAGCAAGACCAGAGCTGACAGTCAGATACCACAGCGTATCCTGGGGCCAATTAAATCTCAGAACTACTAAATCAGTATTAAGCCTTGATACAACACATATGTCCTCTTACATAAGTCATTGCTTGCTCCCTGTTCAAACATTTTATCTCAACCAAAGCACGCTCTCCCAGCCCTTCCCTTGTCAATATTATTTTGTGTGTGAAGGGAGGGTTAACACCTGGGCACATGTGACAGTACCTACTTCTGTTTAAGCTCCCTGCTCCAGTGATGCTCTCCAACTGCAAGCTAAACCCCCTCCTGGGGGTTTAGCTTGCAGTTGGAGAGCATCACTGGAGGATAAACACACCTGACCCCCAGCCACAGGCTGTAGCTGCCCACCCAAGTGGGCAATCTTTGCCCAGGAGCCTGCTGGGTGCTAAACTCGAGGTGTCTGGCACTGGTGCAGCCCACACAGGCAGCAGCACTGTGATATCTTTACAGAAACAAACAGATCCACCGTGTAGAAGAACCTGGGAGGGCTGGGATGAGCCTTCTGATCAGAAGCTGGGAGGGGGCACTGGTAGGTCTCTGGAGATCAGAGGATGACTGTTTAAAATCCATCTGAAATAACCCATTTTAAAACTGGAACAAGTCAGCGATTGTTCGTGGTTTCGTTTCCAAACGGTGATCTCATCATCTACAAAACTGAGCCATTTCCAGGAGCACGAGAGGGGAGCCCATTCCCTCTGTGCATTTCCAGCCATCCTTCTTCTTCCAAGACCCGGGAATGTCCTCCTGGGGCTCCAGGTAGCAGATGATCATGGGAGTCTGGGTGGAAAACACTGACCCAGACTAACACCAGCGTTATGAACGGCACTAATGCTGCTGCTCAGCCTTCCCCTCCTGCACGGCTTTGCTTGCTTCCAGCAGTTAAAACTCCAGCTGCTTTTCAAATCTCAAATCTAAATGCTTGGCAGCTTTCCATGTCCTTCCCTGCCACAACGAAAAACATTTAACCCTTCCAAGGGCTTTTAGGGTTACAACAGCCCTCTGCATTCAACGGCCTGTCAAGGACGTGGGGATGTTGTTCCCTGGGGGATGGCTGAACTCTGATAAACCTCAGGGACATCTGAACTCAAGCTCTGATTGCAGCAATTCTCCCTATGGATGCAAACCAGCAAAGATTAAACACGCTTCCAGAAAGCAAAATGAACACCCAGCCAGCCATACTGACACACAGAGCTCCTCTGTGGGCTTGTCTACAGCCCACATGCACAGGAGGAAAGTTGTCCCAAAGAGGTATTTCAATTAGTAGCTCTAAGTCACATTTAAATTTAAAAAAAAAAAAAAAGGCATATTGTTACATCCAACAGATTTGTTTCTATTTCAGATTGAGGCTGCTTATTAAAAAGTTAATAACCAAAATCATTCACCCCTGGATCTGCACTTCCTGACAGCAAACAGCACAAACCCCAGCCCAGTGCAGTGCTGAGGCTCTGCCTAGGGAAGCTGTGGCAACTCAGAGGAAAAGTTACAGAAAGAGAGATCACAAAGCAAACTCTGAGCCAGTAACGTGCTGAAATTGATTTCAGACCCTTGAAAGCTCTTGGGGTTTCATTTCCTGAACCAAAATTAGATTCTTCTGAT